ATAGTCTTCAAAAAAATGGAGAAGCAGAAAGCATTTTATTTCCATCTCCCATAAAGTTGAACATGATATAAGAGGTGATAAAATGAGATTTTTAAGATGTTGGTGATGCCAGTCTCTTTGCAGGATTACAGAAAAGCAACCAGGGTGACTATGGAGTTTGATATTGATCAGCTTAATGATTACACCAAGAAATTACTCTCCTTATGTAATGCCCTGCGTGAGATTAAACTTGCTGTGACTCTTTCTGTATTACCCTTTTGTTTCTTTTGCACAGTACAAATATCTAATAATTTACACCACTGAAAGGTACACAGCTGAAAAACACTTGAATTACAGTTAAAAGAACAACAGTGAGAAATGCCAGGGTAATTATGCTTTCTGCACATTCCTTTCAGTCCATCATGTATTCCTCAAAGATGTTTAATGAGCACATAGTGTGTCCTTTATTCTTCTCCTTCTCCTTAGAATATTTTAATTGAAGTGCTATGTAATGCAGGCTTTGTTTTTTTCACTGTCTGTTGTAGAGGTCACATGTCTTATTTGTGTGATTCAAATAGTTATAAATCAACAGCAGAAAACTGTCCCTATTAGAGCTCAAACTTTTGCAAGCCAACCTATGAAACATGCATTCAATGGCAAGTTGGCCAAATTTTTTCTCCAAACTTCATACTCTCATTATCAAAAGTGTATTAGTAAATACTGTGTGCCTGCTGTGCTGTATCCCCTTCTGTACTGCTCATTAGTTACTTTTTCTTCCATAAAGTATGAAAGATCAAGCTTTTTATTATTTAAAAAAAGCTTAGAGATTTTTACAGATTGGAGTTGTCATTGATTGAATTCTACCACAACAGGGAAGATTTAGACTACAGAAATACAAAAACTTCTATCAATTGCCATTAAGGAAAAAAAAAAATCAAACAGGTGGCAAAAAGGACTACATAAAATCACATCAGCAGAGGCAAAGCCATCAAGCAAATTTGGTTTAAAGTAAGACAATTCAAGAGGAGAAAATAAATAGGCAAAATCATGTGTGTAGGTTCAGTTCAACCAAATATCTGCCATAGCCTAGGGCGCACACAGTTCGATAAACCCGGGCTCAGTGAATAATAAATCCTTCTTGCAAATAAGCAGAATAGTCACTCCTTTCCAAAATGCTCCAAACTCACACTGCCTCTGCCAGAACTTGCAGGGCAGAGGAGTTTGTACACTGGCTTTTTAATCTTTCCCATGCTTCTGTTACAACCCCAGTATGGGTGGACACAGCAACCTTTAGTAAATGGGGTAGGAAGAACAAACTGCACTCCAAAGCCACCATGGTGTGCTGGCACACTAAAGATCTCTTTCTCCGAGATGCTTCTCTCTATGCATTTAAGTGTGAGCCACCTCTGGTATCAGGAAACAAACAGAATCAATGGTGCTTATCTGAAAATACAGACGTTTTGCATCATTTTGACATTCTCCTTACAGATTCATTGCTACCTAAAGTGCTCCCTCTTGCCTTATCAGCTGCAGTTCCCTATTTTTTAAAAAAATCCATTCTTTGTATGCAATAAAACTGCAAAGAGTGCAGTATTTTTTTAAATACTCGTCTTAACAGAGATACAAATACATCTACAGCTATGCCACTTCTGAATATTTCACATTTCCTATTGAAGGACACTCACAGAAAGCAACCAAAATGAAGTAGAGATATGAATTTACAGTTGTCTAAGAAGAGTATATGCTCTTATTCAGAATTGAAGTACCCTTTCAAAATTAATTTTAAAAATTCTCATTTTTCAGCCACCAATCACTGAATCACACTTTAATGCTCTTCCTTCTGCAGTTTTTCTCCCTTATTCTATAAAATGAACAACTGCTATCTTAAACTTTCTCTCTGAACGTACAAGTCTTGCTGTAAAGACATTAAACATAATTGCTCCCAAATGATAATTATTGAGACTCAACTGTTCCTTATACTCACGATGTGTCTTAAAAAGGCCCCTCATTCAAACAGGTTAGTACAATTAAACAAAAATTAAGAAATTGTAATCTTTGCCTCTTTTGCAGAATTTCTTTCTATATGTACAAAATTATTAAATTCTGTTGACTTTTCTTGAATTATATTACAAAAGCTGACTTAATCGCGGCAATCAAATAAGTTTTTGTGTCAGCATCATTTTCCTATTTTCTTTAATCTATATCTGAAATTAGAGAAGAGACAAAGATTCAAAAGACTATTTAAAGCTAAGAGTACTCTCCAGCTTGATCATATCAAAGAAAATTAAGTTCAGAATCAGCTCTTTTCTGCTTTATTTTCCACAACTCTCTGTTTTATCTAGCTGCCGCTCCCAACACCGAAGCAATAAGAAATGAAGGAAACTGCCAAGGTCGGTCTGCTTGTCAGACTGTGGAGCTTCTGAAACTTAGTATTCCTCTTCAAGCTTTTTAAAATAAATCAGCCCTAGCAGTCACATGTACAATCATTCTTCTCTTTCAAGACACAAGAATCAAGACATTGCTTCAGCAGCATGTATCACATTGAAAGCAGGGAAAGGTTACTGGAAAAGTCTTCTCTGAGATGCAGTAGTTAGTTCTGTCGACTTCATTAAAGCCATGCTTAAAATAAACCAGTGGTGTCTGCTTCTATAAAGACCTTGACCCTCAGAGAACTTGACCTACACTTCTGCCCCTTTATCAAACTTTCTGCGCAAAACAACTAAAACAACTTCTGAGAGATGCTGGGGTTTGTTTCTCAGCCCTGACTGCCTTCATTCCCTAGTCTAGCTCCAGGGCAGCCAACACACTACTATCAGAGCAATCCCACAGCATCAGTGGATGCTTTGCCACCAAGCTGTGTGCTTGCAGGACTGCACCTAGTGTGCACACTGGAGAGACTTACTTTCTTCTGAACTAGTCTTGATAAAAAAATATTTCCCAAAAATTAAACTCTGCCTGATGAGGGGCAAGGGAGATGCCCAGAAACTAAAAAAAAAAAAAAAAAAAAAATTAGGAAAAAAAATAATTATGAAGTAGGAAAAAAGGATATGCACATGAACTACTCAAGTTAAAAATCTTTTATTTGCTCAGCACAGATCGTAAGCTTTAATCTTAGACTGGTCAATTTGTTATGATGGTAGGACTATCCATCCTATCTCTATCCTCCATCTCTGAATGTACCTGGGAGCTCCACAGACCCCTCTTCAGGCCAACTTGCACTTGGTAAACACTCCCAACTTCAGCTACCAGCTCAGTTCAGGTACAGCA